TTCATATGCTCTTACATATTTGTAAGTGCATTTTTTAAATTTCATAAATTTAAGTGAATTGGTAAAGTAGTATAGTTTAAGAACTGATTTCATGTAATTCGCTCCAAATTATTTTGCGGATTCGTTTTATCACACTTCACTCCTTAGTTTTTTTCGATTCTTCAGCTTCGAAAATTAGTACGAGATAGTTTTAATTTGACTTAAATATCGAAGGTCAGATGGAGTAAGGCATGATACATACTCTGGATTACTTTCATGGAGATTTTTGATAAAGTGATCTTCCAAAAAACTTTTTGTTACGTAGTTTCCTGGCTCTTCCAACTTAAAACTTATTCTTAAAACCTGAGGTCAGAGGTCCGAACGCAGATTACAGACAGAGTAGCGATTCATAGATGGCCAGAGGGATTATTTAACAATTTGTGTCTTCACTTTTCAATAATTCCGGGATCAAGCATACGCATGCACACGGTCATCGCCTCCCACCATAATGCGTTTTTTTTTCCATTTGTATGAATGCAGAAAAGAACGCATGAAAAGTGCTTAAATGAATGAGCACGAACATCCCAAAATCATCATAATAATGGTGAAAATTTTTTCGGAATCAGTGGTAGCAGAGACATTGCCGAAGCCAATTGAGGTGATTGTTGAAAGTGTAAAATAAAGCGACGTGACGTAGCGTGATTTCAGTGACGGGCCACCCGTTGGCACGCTTCCATTTGTCGACAGATACGGCTCATTCAAATGGCGAGCTGCAAAAAATAATCGTGGGAGTGATGAATACTGCAACTGTATTATAAAAAAAAGTTATTTGCAGAATGCACAAGAAAATAATTTACAACTCAAAAGGCCCCCGAGAGAGGAGAAAAATATACACGAATCGAAGGTGGGCTTAGCTAAAAGTGTGTGACGTGGAATGGAAGGCCCTGACGGAGCCGCAAACGGCGTGTAAGAGCATCCAAGTAACATTATTAACATGGAATACACATGGTACGGTGGGCCGCGGTATTTATGGTGATTAACAGCCGATGGCCGAGAAAATAAACTGTTAAGAAGATAAGCGAAAGGGACAAGAGGAGGCGAACGAGGAGACGGCCTTGACGAAAATTCATCTTGCGCGCAATTTTCGGCAGGCAAATTTCCAAATTTTCATAATTCTTTATATCATATGAAAATCCAAGAAAAACCGCTAATAATTCCGCAAAATTTATTCGGCGTAATCCTTGCTGTGAAAAGCATTAAAATTCCTCACAAACCCAATTCAGGAAAATTCGTATTCAAACACAAATAGCAAAACTATCAATTTCGATATTTTGAATTCATGTGGCAAAAGTCAAAAAACCTTTCGTATTCGACAAGCGGAGACACTCATGAAGTACCTCAAGTGGTAGCAAATGTCAACAGAAACTACTCTCACTGGCAAGACTTCGACGGCTGCCTTTTTCGAAGGTTACTTAGATGGGTTAGATTCCCCTACAGATGCCAGTAATGCTAGTTTACCACCGAAACGAATGAGTAAATCATAGGACTATACGAGTTAGTGAACAAATCGTTTTTTGGCAGGGTTGTTTAATTTTGCACAGGTGCCAAAACACTGTAAAACAGACAATTCAATAAAGGTGGACGTTGAGTGTGATGAGATCAGCGATGTGCGTCGGAGGTCCATTTACTTACCGAGTTGATGCAGCCACGTGAATTCCTTGTGCGGCAGTTCAGCACTACCAATAGCATACCAAATGCAACCAAGCCAATGAGCGATCAGCGCAAATGTCGCCATTAGAAGTAGAAGCACAGCAGCACCGTATTCGGAGTAACGATCCAGCTTCCTGGCTACCCGTACTAATCGCAACAGACGAGCCGTTTTTAGCAAACCAATCAGCGTGGTCGTCTGAAACATCACAGAAAAGTCTACACATCATTTACACATACCAAAAATTATATAAAAACTCTAAAATACTTCCATCA